AGAAAGGGTCCCCAGCCTCTTAGGCAGGACCGGGCACAGCCCAGACAGTGTGGTGCTGGTGGTGTGTGTGTGTCCCTAGCTCATGAGTGGAGAGGTCGTCATCTCTATTCTTCTTCTTCTTCTTTTTTAATATTGACTATTTATTCGTTTGTTCGTTTGTTTTTTTTTAAGTAGGCTCCATGCCCCGCAGGAAGGGGGAGAAGGCGCTTGAACTCATGATCCTGAGATTAAGACCTGAGCTGAAATCAAAGAGTCTGATGCTTAACTGAATGAGCCACGCTGGTGCCTCACCTCATCTCTATTCTTAAAATGAGATGGAGGGGCGCCTGGGTGGCTCAGTAGGTTGGGCGTCTGCCTTTGGTTGGGTCATGATCCCGAGATCCTGGGATTGATCCCGCCTTGGGCAGCCTGCTTCTCCCCCTCCCTCTGCTGCTCCCCCTGCCTGTTCTCTCTCACTCTCTCTCTGTCAAATAAGTAAGTAAAATCATATAAAATAAAATAAAATAAAATAAATGAAATGAAATAAATGGAGCCAGCCATGTCAGAGTTGTGAGTGGATCCACCGTAGCCCACTTAGGTCACACAATAAATAAAATGCTAGCAAACCAAACTAGGTCCATGAACATATTTGAAGCACCTACCCTGGGCCAGCTCGGTCCAAGCTCTGAACCCACTAAGGAAATGAGAAACCTCAGCCCCTTTCTCTTAGCCCAGTCTTGCACAGGAGACAGGCTTTTAAATGATTCCCATGCAGTGTGATACTGTGCACAATCATATAGAATTTGTGCACGATGTATATTGAACCTCTTCCCAACCACAGTTAACGTGTCTCCCCCCGCCTCCCCCGGGGCAGTTTCTTTCAGACTTTCTTAAAATGAAGGGATTCCCTCTTTAAAATTCTATACACAACAGGCAACTCCAAGTGAAGTCTGGCTCTGGGGCCTCATGGGCCTGCAGGAAATCAACTAAGGTCTTTCACAGGTAGCAGGATCCCCACTAGACTAGACTGGGGCTTTGCTCTGGGTCTGTTCCACAGTGTATCTTCAGGGCCTAGGCTAGCAACTGGTACATAGTAGGTCTCCAGTAAACATTTGTTGCATAAAGAAATCTGCCTTGTTTGCCTGGGGATAGTCTCTAGCATACTCTGGGGACTGGTCCAGAGGTATCTGGCCCACCCAGGGCTGGGGAAACTGAATTGCCCATGGTTGCACTTTCTGCAGGCCACTGTCTCTTTCACTGGGACCCATTTTAAAATATCATAATAATGTTTATTTTTTGAGTATGTGAAACATTAACATAATTCTAAAAGCAAAAGTTATGCAAAAATGTGTATTCAAAGATGTGACCACTACATCTTTACCCTTTCTATTCTCATTCTCATGCCCACTCCCCATCCTTCCCCAGTTCCTACACATTCCCAATCTCATCACTTTATTCTTTTTGTGCTTTTTTCCCCCCATAAATGATCAGACACAGGTATTTCTTAAAAAAACATTTTCCCTTCTTTACCTGACAAGGTAGCATAATATGGGTAGTACTTCTTGTTGCTATAAAGTAGTGGTATTTAATAAGATTTCTGTATTGATATTACACTTCTAATTGCTACCTGTGGATGGCTGTTGCTTTATACCCAGGATGTCCTTGCTGCAACATCAGTGTCTGTGCCCTTTCTACCTCTTTCCTTTGCTCAAAATAAGCTGTCCCATGTCTAGGATATTCCCAGGACACGGAAAATGTCGCACTATTCATGACTGTTGGCGCAGATCTTCATAGCTTTTTTTCCCCCCACAGATTTCGTAACTATGGTCTTAAGGCAAATCCTTTCAAAACAAATCATTAAATTTTCTCATTTTTAAAAAATGATGGTTTCTCATTTTTTCTTTTAAGAACATGGAGGTTACTTACGGTGCCAGACCACACAGCTACCGAAGAGCAGGGCAGAATCCAGATTTTCTCGATAGGGATCCTGGTTCTTTCTACCATATGCCTGCATCACAAACACAAAGCTATTGCACTTTACTTCTACTCTCCTTGCTCACACTTGGATTTCCCAAGAGCAGAATGAAGATTTGAAAAATAACTCAGATTATTCTCAAAATAACTCTGAGAGGGGTGTAAAGCAGTTATTATTTCCAGGTTGCAAAAGAGAAAACCAAGACAAAGAGAGGTTAAGAAATCTGTTTGGGGTCACATATATCTCATTTTCAGTATGGTGCTCTTTCCTTTAGAGCACACAGACTAAGATGCATGCCGTTGTTTAGTAATCATCTTGTGTTTTTCCCTACTTCTTCTTTTTTTTTTTCAAGATTTTATTTATTTATTTGACAGAGAGAGACACAGCTAGGGAAGGAACACAAGCAGGGGGAGAGGCAGAGGGAGAGGGAGCAGACTCCCCATGGAGCAGGGAGCCTTGATGCAGGGCTCAATCCCAGGACCCTGGGATCATGACCTGAGCCGAAGGCAGATGCTTAACGACTGAGCCACCCAGCGCCCCTGTTTCTCCCTACTTCTTCACTCAGTACTTCTTAGCACCCTTTTTCTAAGAAAAATTCACTACACATTTTAAAATTTCACTGAAACTATTACTTCAATATTTTCTGAATTATTTTATTTGATTCAGTAGATATTTTCTGAGTGCCTATTACATAAGGGAAGGTAATCATATAATCAATCCTCCAAACCAAGGACATTTTGTTAAAGGAAGGAAACACTCACTGGATGGGATGTCAGGCACAAACCACAATTGATCCAGACAAACCACAACATATGGTCACCCTATATATAAGGCAGTTTGCAAGGCACTTAGGACACAAAGATAAATAGCACACATTCCAGGACCCTCTAGGAGTATCCGGTCCAGTAGGGGAAAAGACCAGTGAACTTTTATTATAGAATCTTGCCAGCACACCTTTATCTGCTGGACTGACAATAATGGGCTTAATTTCACTTGCTTGATGAAGGAGGACATTTTTTACTTTAATTATATTTTCATCATCAAGATCTATGATGTGAGTCTGATTGTCATTTTGAAGAGGTGGGTTGATTACCTGTGCATCCTTTTTTATGTAGGCTCACCTACAGTCACACACCTAAAGCTCCCTCCCTAGCACAGACTCCTCCCCAGAACCAGGGACGCACCCAGCTCCCATGCCTTCTTAGAGATACTCTTATAATTTGCTCTTTTCACTTAACAATATATCCTGGACACCACACCCTACTGGTTCAGAGAGATCTACCTTATTCTTTTTTATAGTTGCTCATTGTGTGTGAATGTGCCACATTCAACTAATTTCCTGTGCATAAGTATTTAGATTTTCCCAGTACTTTGCATTACGAATGACATTGTTGCTATGCGTTTTGATATTGCTAGAAGTGTATCTTCAGAGATACAGCTAGAAGTAGGTTATGGGTCAAAAGTAAATGCATATATAATTTATTTAGGCATTATCAAATTCCTCTCCAGAATGGTTGTACAGGCTTGCATTCCACAAGCAACGTATGAGAGTGCCTACCTCCCTTGTAGCAACCTAGACAACTGAATGTCTTCTACCTTTTAATTTTCACCAATCTGATATTACAAATTAAGTTCCTTATATGCAAGGCACCCAGCAGGAGCGGGCAGCCCTACGGATGGCTGTGGACACGGTTGTTGACTCAGGGGGAGACAGATTATGAATGCCTTAGGACTCAATTCTGTAGAGGCAAAACATTCTGAATGATGGCATGGTGCCCCATTCACATTTCCATTCCAGCAGAAGCTGGAGAATCTGGGACGGATGATGTTTAACTATAAGCTCACACCACAACTATTTCCTTCTGATCTAGTCCTTACCCACCAACACCTTAGCAGGTTGCTAGTTTTTCCTAAAGGATGTGCTTCAGGGTGCCTGGGTAGTTCATTCAGTTGAGAGACTGACTTTTGGTTTCGGCTCAGGTCATGATCTCAGGGGCATGATCTCAGGGTGGTGAGATGGAGTCCCTGCTCCAGCTCTCTCTCTCAAATAAATAAATCTTTTAAATAGGGATGTGCTTCAATTCTTTTGAAAATTAAACTCATAAACCTCATTCATTTATCTGTATTATACAGAAAAATTAATTAAACAAATTCAGAAGCCTGGGCTGGCTCTTGCAGGTAATAGAACACTCCTGGAACACGGTTGAGCAACCTGCAATTATTTTAAGGAAATAAAGAGGTTTAGGTGTTTTGTGACGGTGACTTTTTTGTAGAAAGATTCCACTTGGAATGTAACACTTTGCACACCGCCACATACATACACTCAGTTAAGAGGTGGCCCTATATTCTGTCTGCGCACGTAGAAATGTTGAGATTGCAGAGAATAACGAGAGTAGAACATCATTTACGGTAATTTGCACGTTGGCGACCTCTTAAGGAAGGAACGACTTGGAACCCGGCCTCAGCCCCCAAAGTACTGAGTGCCAGGCCTGTCACCGCCCCCTCAGGAGGCGAATGACTACAAACAAGTTAGGGGACCACCCTGCACCTCAACATCCCATCCCTGGAACTGAGATAATGACATCTGCCTACTTATCTCAAAGGGACATCAATGAGATCATGGATGCCCAAGCTGAACAAGATACCAGACACTAAAAACTGCCGGAAAGGGCCTGTCTGACCCCCAAGGTCAGGCCGTGTGCGTGAAACTCCTCTGGGGTGGGCTCTGGGGACGCAGCGATGCACCTGATCACGTCCCAGGCTTTGAGGCTTTCGCGAGGGCTCATCCAGGCGGCGGGCTGCCAGTTTCGGACAGAGTAGCTGCGGTCTGGCCGCGCGCGTCTGGGCCGCCTGGGCTGCTCCCGGGCTACCAGGCTTCGTAGGACCCGGCCCCCAAGCCGCAGGAGCGGCCGCTCCACCGCGCCACGGCCGCACCGTTTGACCTGGATCCCAGCTGGCACTACGCACACACGCACGCACACGCGCACGCACGCACGCACAGCCGCCGGGGTCGAACGTGTATTTTTCCAGGGGTGGCGAGGCGCTGTCAGTCTGCGGGCCGGCGGCAGGGGCGCCGGGGGTGGGGGGTGGTTGTGCTGGGCGAAGGGGGCGCGCCGGCGGCGGGCGCCGGAATGTTAATTGAAATGCTGCTGGCAGCGCGGCGCTGATAAGCGTCGCCGAGCAGCGCCGCGGCCCCCGAATCAGTGCGCGCGCCGCCTGGCCCCGGGAGGCCCGCACCGAGGAGCCCCGCCCTCTGCGGCCCAGGATTCGCCCGTTTACTCCGGACGTGTGGCGGGCGCGCGGAAGGCGGCGCGCCGGCCTCCGGCGTCTGGCGGGAAGACTCAACTGTCTCCGCCGCGGAAGGCTGGCGACGGGGGTGGTGGGGAAACGACCGGGAGAAATCGAGAAGCTGGCTGTTCTTTATATCATCAGTAAAAGAAATCTCTTCGCCCCGATCCCCTCTCCGCTCCACACGCAGGCTCTTCCCATAACCCTGAGATTTTCGCGCCTGTGTTCTGGGGTTCGCGGACAGCGTCTCTGAAAGTGATCTCAGGCAAACCGTTAACATGGCCCCAGGACAGCCGTTTGGGAGAAGATAGCATTCGATCCTTAGCTCACACTCTACACTCGAGATACACACTCCAAATAGATTTAAATGTAAACGAAACCGTGCAAGTACTAGAAGAAAATATGGGTGAATTCCTCTTTAATCGTGGTGTAGGGAAAGGTTTTGTCACTTTGGTTCGGATCCGGAGACAATAAAAGAGAAGATTAATAAGTAATACAGTCACAGGTTTCCATGCTTCCTAGCCCTGGGTGGATGCTAAAGAAAATGGAAAATCTTTTGAGATCTCCCCCAAGGGAACTTGTGGATACTTCCCTCAGAACATAGGAGAAGGGTATATGCACTGGGGCAGGGCCGGGTGGGGGGGGGGCGGAGCTCAGGGCCTGCAGAGCTGCAGGAGCATAGCCCATTACCTTTTCCCCAGTGGGCATTCTCTGTACTTACGTGGCAGCCGAGGGGCAGCTGCCTGGACAAAGAGCACACAGGCACAGCCAGCATGTTGGTATTTGGTTCCACGTAGATAAATTATCCCGATAACCAAGCACGTTGTCCCCTTCCTCCTCTTCCCCAGACAGTCTGACGCTGGGTCGATGCATTAGAGAGTAGGATGGCTCATTTAAAAGCTGACTTCGGAAAGGTCTCATATTTTAAGCAGGTCCGCTTTACATAGAATATGCCCAGAAGGCTCTCACTGTGCCAAGAGCCCTTCACGCAGCTTTCTTTGGCAGGGTTCCTTTTGGCCTCTGCTGTCATTTGGGTTTTTCTCCAGGACCTGGATGCTGTAGGCTGCCTTGCCTGCTTGGAGCAGGGCTGGAGTAGATCTGTAGCCAGAGGGTTCTGGGCTTATTTGGGGTAAAGTAGAGGATGTATGGGAAACAAATTTACCTCACGAGAAGCTAGTAATACATTCTCCTTTCTCAAGTCAGGCAATTTGGAGAGATTGGAGAACAAGGGATTTTAAAAAAGGATATAAAATGAGACTGTTGGGCGCCTGGGTGTCTCAGTCGGTTGAGTGTCTACCTTCAGCTCAGGGCATGATCCCAGGGTCCTGGGATCCAGTCCTGCATCGGGCTTCCTGCTCAGTAGGGAGCCTGCTTTTCCCTCTGCCTCTCTCTCTCTCTCTCTGTCTCTCATTAGTAAAATCTTAAAAAAAAAAAATTCTTTTAAATGAGACTGTTAAATATCCAAATCTTTGAAAAGTTTTGCTTTGCATTTCCTTTTGATCTCTCTGGGAGTCCAGGATCAGAGACAGGATGAAGATGCCAAAATTGTGCTTGTTATAATACACAACAGTGTCAAGCCAAGTTAACACAGAGAATGAACCTGCCAGTCCTAACAGTCATTGCTATTTTCTGTCTAATTCACAAGAGGGTCCCTGCATCCAAAGCTAACTGACCATTACTTTAGTAAACTCTAGGCATTCTTTTTATCAACCACCTCCCTCATTTTTATAAACAGGCCCAGAAAAACTGTGGCTGAGAGCACACGTTAGGAGCAACAGAGCAGGACTTCTGCTCAGCCTGGGAGAGCCAGACTTCTGATTGAATCCACTCGGCATGATTCGATATCTGTGGACTCTCAGCCTGTGATATTTACCCCCTTATTCAGTGCCTCCCTGCCAAGTAGCCTTTAAAAAATATAGCTGGCTTGATAATAAACCATTCATTATATTCTCAGCGTTAATTTTCTACCTTGAATGAAGGATGGACTAAAGATTAATAATAGCCAATTCTCACTCAGTGCTTCCCAGGCACTGTACCTCATATGGGCTTTTCTAACATATATGTACATTTTATTACCCACACCCCTTGTCTGCTTCTAGATGTCTTCATGCCTTCTTCAGGTCTTTGCTCAGTTCCTCAGGTCACCTCCACTCTTGCCCCCAGGGAGCTAACATTCAGGAGGGGTGGAGAAAATAAAGAAATATAATACATTGGTAAATTGTAGAGCATGTTAGAAGGTGATGTACAGGGGCGCCTGGGTGGCTCAGTCCATTAGGTTCCTGCCTTTGGTTCAGGTCATGATCTCAGGGTCTTGGGATCAAGACCCAAGTCAGGCTCCCTGCTCAGCGGGGAGTCTGCTTCTCCCTCTCCCTCTGCCCCTCCCCCCTGTAGGTGTGCCCAGGAGCTCTCTCTCTCTCAAATGAATGAATAAAATCTTTTTAAAAAAGAAGGTGATATACAATATGGAGAATACAAATAGGTATGAAGAAAACAAATATGTAAAGGGATCAGAAGTGTGCTCTGTGTGTGTGTGTGTGCGCGCACGCGTGCACGCACTGGCACACGCAGGTGGGGCAATTGCAATTTTGAGAAGGATGGTTGGAATAGGCTTCTTTGAGAAGTTGCTACTTGAGCAAGGACCCAAGGGAGGTGAGGGAGTGAATCCTGCGGATCTGGAGGGCGTGTGCACAGCTAGTGCCAAAAGCCTTGAGTCTGGATCAGGCTTGGTGTGCTGAGAACAGGTGGAGCGGCATGAACAGAAGGGAGGGGGCAGAGGGGTCACGGGGGAACCTTTCTGAGGCTAGCGAAGGACTTTGGCTAAACTTTTGAGGAAAACTGAGCACGTCGGAAGGTTTTGAGTAGAGGAGTAATATAACTCTACTTGAGCTTGTAAAGGAGCAGCGTGGTTTCTGTGTTCAGATGAGGCTGCCACAGAACAGCTTAGGAGGACTTGTTAGCTGGTAATCCTGACCACAGATGAAGATGGTGGACCCAGGGTGAAAGCAAAGGAGGTGGGGGAAAGCGGTCAGGTTCCCAGTATATTCTGAGTGAACACGGTTTCCAGACAATCGGATGTGGAGTGTAACACATGGTGAGACACAGAATCAAGGATGATTCTAAGTTTTTTTGGCTTGAATAAATGGAGAGGTGGAGTTGCCATCAATTCAAAAGAGAAGGACTGCAGGCAGAGGAAGTTTTGGGGAGCAGACAAGGAGTTCTATTAGAAAACTTGAAATGTCTGTGAGACCACTAGGAAGTGGCTGGATCAGGAGTTTAGGTGACAGGCCCAGGCTGAGAAGATACATTTGGGAGTCGTTGGCATAAATAAGCTATGGAAAGCCACAGTCCTGGATGAAATCATCATGCATGTAAATTGAGAAGAAAAGAAGTCCATAACCAAATTCTCAGGCAACCAAATGGTTAAGAGGTCAGGAATCCAGAGCAGGAAAAATGTACAAACCAACTGGTCTGAAGACTACAAAAAAGTCAACGTCATTTTTTTAAAAAATGTGCTGGGCTGTTCTCCATTAAAAGACAAGAAAGAGACATTACACAAATACATTTCAGCACTTCGATTGGATAGTGGATACAAAAAAGCTATAAAAGACATTTTTGAAACAATGGGGGGGCATTTGAATTTGCACAGGAATTAGGCGATAATGGCAGAAGTCATGTTATTTTTCTTAGACGTGATCACAGGAGAGTGGCTTTGTTGGAAGTGTTTGTGATGAAGTCATGCCTATAAACTTTCACATGTGACAAAATGGTAAGAGTTAGCCAGTGGTTAGTGGAATAGTTAGATGAAGGATATATGCATGTTCACTGTACTGTTTTTACAGTTTTTCTGTAAATTTGAAAAATTTCAACATAAAAAAAGCCACAGGAAAGTAGGGTGGAGGAAGTGGATGAAGCAAGAAGGAACAGAAACGATGAAAATGCTACTCTGTTGTCAAGTAAAATGACAAAAATGATTTTTGGATCTAAAACCGGTATGAGTGGTGACCTTGGCAGGGCAGTTGGGCAGAGCTCAGAGTGGACTGCTGCCTCTGCTGGCTAAGCCCAAGGGATGGGGCTCTGACTGGGCTTCCTGGAGAGGGAGAGAGAGACAGAGAGAGAGAGGAGGGGGAGAGAGGGAGGGGAAAGGAGGAGGGAGAGGATGAGGGGGGAGGGAGGAAGGGAGGGAGAGACTGCTCCTCTGGGTGCGGGACCAGCCGAGGTGAGTGCAGGGTGGGGATGGGGGCGGAGGGCGGTGGGGGGAGGCCGGCCCCAGGGAGGGGAGAAGGGTCAGGAAGGGGGAGGGTCCCTGCTCTAGCGTGTAACCATGCAGATTGGGTGTTTTCTCTCCAGGGTAGCAGGCGGGGTGTCAAACAAACTTTGAGTATAGTAAATACTGGGGTTAGCTTTTATTTCGTAGGGAGTGCATTTATTCAGATGGAGGAAGCTGAACAGGAAAAACAGAATAACTACAATAAGGAGGACATTTATTTTATTCCTTCGTTTAGACCATTCTCGGCGGCACTGGATCTGGGTGCTGTGTGGCGTTGATATTTGGACAGTTAGGATTAGAAAGGCAAATTCCCATCTTCTTGAAACAGGAAGCAGCAGTGTTTTGTTTGGTTTTTAAATCTGACGCCTGAATTAAGAGAAGTTGCCTGAACTTAGCTTTCTAGGGATGCAGTGCTGGCCTCCACGTTAATTACATAGATACCAGCCTTGATGACAGATCCCTCCCCACCCCCAACAAGCTACAGCAGGTTTGTAAATGTCTTTTTTTTTTTTTTAAGATTTTATTTATTTATTTGACAGAGAGAGACGCAGCAAGAGAGGGAACACAAGCAGGGGGAGTGGGAGAGGGAGAAGCAGGCTTCCCGCGGAGCAGGGAGTCCAATGTGGGGCTCGATCCCAGGACCCTGGGACCATGATCTGAGCCGAAGGCAGACGCTCGACGACTGAGCCACCCAGGTGTCCCCCCGCCCTTTTTATTTTATTTTTTTTAAAGATTTTATTTATTTATTTGAGAGAGAGAGAATGAGAGATAGCGAGCACGAGAGGGAAGAGGGTCAGAGGGAGAAGCAGACTCCCCGCTGAGCAGGGAGCCCGATGTGGGACTCAATCCCGGGACTCCAGGATCATGACCTGAGCCGAAGGCAGTCGCTTAACCAACTGAGCCACTCAGGCGCCCCTCCCCCGCCCTTTTTAAAAGAAGGTTTGTAAACGTCTTGAATCTCTCCCTCCTTTTTTCAAATATAGCTAGATTCTTTAAAGTAGCATACAATAACAAAAACAAGGGAAAATAAAGAAGTACACACAAACCCTAAGATCTTCTAATTACTCAGAGAAAAATTTTGATATTCTCTATTTACTCTTTTCATATATGTATAATAAACTCCCTTTAAAGAAATAGGGATTGGATATGAGGTTTTCTAACTTGCTTTTTTCTTAACGTCATATTATGAATATCTTTGCATGTCATCCACTATTCCTCTATAACATGATATGAGTGAATGTTTATACTGTATATTGACTGTATATGCTATATTGTAATATGACTGTATATTTTACTCTATGGATATATTCCAATTTTTAAAGCTACATTTCTTTTGTGGGATATTTAGGGTTCTTTCAAGTTTTCCCTTTAAGTACTATTGCTAGAAATATTCCTGTAATAATTGTGTTGCATGCCTCTCAGGTTCTTTCCTTGGTATAAGGTAAGTTGGGGGAGGAGAAGGGGAGGAAGGCATTAGTTCTTCCAGAAAGGCGGCCTGTGGTGGCAGACCCTGCTAGAAAAATGGAAATAACTACGAGATTTCCTCAGCATAGTCCACGGTGCCCCCCCTTCCTGCTCCTGCCCGAGGGGGGCTTGTCCCAAGGCACCCGATGCTGGGTGCGCACCTCCGAGGGACCACTCACCACCAGGCTCCTTCTCTCCAGGGGCTCCTCCTCCTTCTTGTCTCCTGGGAGACTTCAGGTTTAGAGATGATCCCATGGGAGAGAAGCAAAGGCATGAAGTGACGGTGGAGGGTGGCTTTGGATGGGCCACAACGCTGGTTCCCAAAGAGTTCCCTGGCCAAGAAATGGCTGCTGGCGGCCGAAAGAGAGCTGCCTTCTGGACGGTGGGGGCAGCCGGCAGCTGGGATGGCCGCCCCTCACTTCTACACCCTCCAGACCCACCCCCGGTTGGGGCGCCCTGGGCCCTTGCACGGGGCTGAGAATTGCCCTGGGGATGCAAGGGGCAAACCCGGACCTCCTGCGTCTGTGTCATCTGGCTTTGAGAGCAGAGTTCGGCTTGGCTACTGCTGCAGTTTGGAAAATGAAGTGTGCTCGGCCACCCCAGGCCTTTCCCACTTCGGGCAGTCTGGGGCCAAGAAAAACCAATGGTTACAGCAGCCGCAACCAGAATCCTGTGAGGGTATTTATCTTGTGACACATAAGGACATCTAGCGAGTACAGTTTTAAGGCACTAACTCAAAAACCTCACTGCTGTTCCTAAACGTGAAAAGCAAAACGTTTAATACTTAAAAAAATGATATGGAAAAATATTTTGATGACTTTGGGCCGGGGAGAGGTTTCTTATAATGTGAACAATCTATACAAGGAAAGACAGGGAAATTGGACTTCATTTTGGTCATTCAAAGCCAACTGTAATCTAGTGAAAAGGCAAGCCATCGTGGGCAATTTTCCCAGGACTGCTATCCAGTATATAGAATAAGCTCTTCCAAATCAACAATAAGAATAGAAAAATGGGCAACTGACTTTCTTTTAACAAAGAAGAAATCTAAATGGCCAATAAACCTAAGAAAAGGTGCTCATCATCAACAAGCTAGATTGGCCAAAATTGAAAACTTGACAATACTAGGTGTGGGTAGGATGTGGAGCCAGGGCATTGTCTATACAGTGCTAGTGGGAGTGAAAACTGGAAATCTGTATGGCAATGTCCAATAAAGCTGGAGGCCCAAACTACCCTGTGACCACAATTCTACTTTTGCGAATAAAGCCTGTTGACGTGTGTGCACATATGTACCATGAGAGGTATGTCAAAGTTCAGACCAATGTTGTTTGTAATAGGTCCGAAGTGGAAATAATCCAAACGTCTACAGACTGTGTTACACAGTATGGAATGGTATAGAAGAATATATATGGAATAATAAGTAAATGATAGGTATGGAATACTATACAACAATGAAAAATCAATGAACCACAGATACAACAATGATGAATCTTAAGGACATAATATTGAATGGAAGAAGCCAGATACAACAGAACACATACTAAGTGATTTCATTTGTATAAAGTTTTAAGACTAGGCCAAATTTAACTATGGTATATTTTTTAGGCATGGATCCTTAGGTAATACAAATATATGCATGGCAAAGAAATGAACATTGTAAAAGAAGTCAGGATAGTGGTTACTAGTAGGAGAGAGGGAATGGGAGAGGTGTTTGATCCAAAAGTGATTGGTGAGAGTTCCTGAGACAGAGTCTTGGCTGGGTGGCTATTACCCTAGTGTTTATTTTGCAATAATTAATTAGGCTTGACACTTATTTTTTATACACTTTTTGGGGTATGTTTTTACACCCACCCCCCCAATTTAAAAATGATAGAGATGATCTGAGGCAGGATTTGGGGAGGACCTGCCCTAATTTCTGTGAAAGGCTAAAGTCTTTCTGTTTTCAGCTAGCCACAACAAAGCAAACTATCCTCACATTGTGGACATCACATGGCTTCCTAGTGGAGATTCCTTAAGTCTCACTTTAATCCTGTAGGAAGGAGGAGTAATTTCTATTTAACTTGATTCCAATGAACTTATCAAGGCTTATCCTAAAACAGCATCTCAATTTTTTGAAAGCAGCCCACTGATTAAAAAAGTTAATTATCTCCTTTGCATTGACTGAATAAGTCCCTATTCTAAATCAGGTGCATTTTGAGTTAGGAGGCCAGCTCTCTGTCTGGGTTCCAGCCTCTGAGCCAGGTAAACCCTAGGTGGAGACTCTCCAAGCCATTCTTCCCTCTTTCCAAGGGAAACCTCAGCAAAAGGAACTGCTTAGCAGCAGGCTTATTACTAGGAATGTACTGATTTGCTAACAGAGAATTCTGTAGCAAAATTACAAAAGGACAGGGAATCAGAAAATGTAGAAGGTGGGCTCCCAGCAAGGCAGAACTCTTACTGGATAATTTGATTTTTTAAATTCAAAAAAGATAAGCAGTGGTTGTGACAGCAAAATATTTGTATAAAACTTACCCACAGTTTGCATTTTCACATGTGTTTCATTTATTATCATTTTAACAGAATAGACATAGCTTTAAGTATATATTTTGAAATAGATGCTGAAACACACACAAATGCTCTGTAGGAAAATGACATGTTCACTTTATAAATCTTAGAGAAATTTGCTTTCAACTCCTGCTAATACCAGTTTTTACCCAGTACCAGGCACCGTTCTAGTGTCTTTATAGATGTGAACGTTAATTCTTTTAATCCCTCTCCGGACCGTTTGAGCTGGATGTTCCACGTTACAGCTGGGGAAACTAAGGCCCGAGAGCCTAAGTTCTTTGCCTATTCAAAGTCCGGCGGAGTTCCAGAGCTGAGTTCTTGAACACCACAATGCACTACCTTGGAGCCTTCCAGAATGAAATCCAGAAGTCCACGGAGCGCTTGGCTCTCGGCTCTCTCATCTGGAGTTTGCGAGGTCTTCCGGTTCCCTCACGGGGAGCTTTCCTCCCGTGACCGGGGGCGCCCACCCCACTCCCAGGCCAGGGCTTACACTAATTAGCTTCTTCCGACCCAGCGGAAAATAGGAACCTAACAGAAGCCCAAACAGACGGGCCCGCTCCCCCCCATTTGCCACCCCCCACCCCCAGCTCCGATTGCAACCCAGTAGATTTCTAGAAACAGGAGACCCCGAGAAAAACCGGGTGGCCAGGGTCTCGGTGTTAAACTCGCAGAGGGGAGGGGGACGATGGTCTGATGGCGAAGTTCCTGCGAGGCGGCCAACAATAAGGATGCTGTCAGGAATGGTACCAAAAAATTCGGGGACGGCTTTGAAATCATGGCCACCTCACTAGGCGTTTCTTCAAAGGGCGAGACCGTGGGGCCCGCTTTCCCTGTGAACCACTTCCTTTTGGACCCACTGTCCCCAGCGGGTCTGGGGTCCGCGTCCCTGCGCCGCGCCCCGCCTCCTCCCTCTTGCCCGCCGCGCCGCAGGTTGGGGGCTGGTGGTGGTGGGGGGGGGCAGTTGTTTTCCTTCGACCTGGGGGCCGTCATTGTCACTCCAGCAGCCTCCTGCTGTGGCCCTGAGCCCGGCCGCAACCCGACACCTCGCGCCGTTGACGGCAGCCGGCGCCGGGGCGGTGGCGGAGAGCGCCCGGGCCAGGGGAGGCGGCGGGGAGCCGGGCGGGTGCGTCACAGGGCCCGACCCAGCCTCCTGCGCCTCATCTCTCCGACTGGAGCCTAAGAACCGCAAAACCAGCAGGGGCCCTTTCCAGACTCCAGCAGGAGAGCAGCTGGCCGGTATTGCGCTCCCGCCCGGGGCACAAGGGCGCGGTTTGCCGAGCTTCCTCCTCCGATCCCGTCCTTTTTTTTTTTTTTTTTTTCCGCTTACCGGTATCCTATTTCCCTTGGTACTACTATTTACTTAATAGTTTATGTTAATTAGACCCACTTTTAGAAAACGTAAATATTTATTTTAACCCGTTAACCCGTTCTTCAACCCGGAAACTTAAACAGTATCCGATAAAGCACAGGTTTGAAGGGCTATCTATATGTCAGCCAATACACATTGCATTATAATCACAATTCAAAAAAAAGTCAGTCCCTGTACGATTTCTCATTTTACACCATGTGAGATTTGGATACCACGTTTTAGAAGAGACAGCATTTACATTACCCACACCACCCCCAATTTAAAAACAGCTGCATTTCGTAGACGAGGGGGCGCAGGTACCTTTTCCGGGATAGAAACTCTCAACGAAAACAATGAATCGTGGATCACTGCATCAAAAACTAATGATGTATTGATTGGTGACTAATATAATAAAGTAAAAAAAAAAAAAGTCAAAAAATGCAAGCAAGCAAGCAAGAAAACCTCGCAACAGCTCCACAGCGGACTGCCCCTGCTCCTCCCACCCTGCTCCCGCGCGCTGGGAAGTTCTGGTCCTGCGGTGGCCGCTCAAGGGCTCCACTCTGGTACTAGTTCGTCCAGGGGCGCGCGCGGATTGAGCATCCTGCTCCACCAGCCACGGGGTGGGGGGCGGATAGGAAGGAGATGCAGGAGGCCATCGACCTGCCCTCCGATCGCACACAAAAGACCGAATCTAGTGTTTTGTAGACAAATTTAGGAAGCGGTCCCTGGCCTGCTTGCTGTCTTGACTCTAGTCCTACGGTAGTGTCTGACCTCCGTCCCAGGGCTACCCTCGCGCATTAAAAGCTTCCCCACACTCTTCTGAGCTGCCCTGATGGAGCTGATCCTCAAGCACCCGGCTTCGCCTGCTCGCGCACTGTCTCAGTTTCCCGCCACAGGATGCCCCTCTGCAAAGCAACGCAGAAAGCTAATTTGATGGCATTAGCTGTCTGGCCCGAACTGCCTCTCAAATTCCGATGTTCACTTGATGAAGGGCAGTTCTGACTGGAGACCATGTCTTTCGCCGAAGGGCTGAGGGTCCGTCCCAGAGTTTCTCAGATTTCGGTGTCCCTGTGAATTACCTGGGACTTTAATCAAAATGCCAGGTTCTGATTCAGTGGTGTGGGGGCCTGAAATTCTGCACTTCCCAGAAGCTTCCCAGGGGATGCTGATGTTGTGAATCCTCAGACCACACTTTGAGTAGTAAGGGTCCAAGGGATTTCAGATTTGTCAGGCTGGCTTCGAAGGCAGAAAATTTGGGGCGGGGCAACATCTTGCTTTGGCCTGAGGCAGGCCTTTTGCTAATGAATTGATTAGAAAGACAATGAGGTAGGTGATGAAGGGTAGAGTCTTGGCGACCAAGCCATAAATTTGTATTACACCATTTACTGTAGGGACTTGGCTAAGCCGTATAACTTTTTTGAACTTCTGTTTCTTCATCTGTAAATGGGCACAGTGACATGTATCACTGGGTTTATGCAAGATCATGGTGGGGGCAGGGGGAAACCCATGTAAATGTTCTTTTTTTTTTTTAAAGATGTAAAGCACTGACCACATAAAAAGGATTGGTGTTTTATTATCCATGAATTTGCAGTAATTTCCCAAAAAGTAGTTTGAGGTGGTCAAACACACACATAAAAGGGATATTAAATGTATATGCATGCACCAGAACTTTGTTATCCTAAAGCAAAAGCTACACTCTTCCCTCTGAAATGATGTAAGGATCATGGTTCATTTTTATGAGTTATCAAGATTCTTAGAGAAAGGCATAGAAAGAAAAATGACAGATGTGTCCCTTAGGAGAACATGCCACATTGGGGTGGGATTGCTCAGGGGCAGGATACACCCCCTGGATCTGGTCATGGTCACACAATGACCATTGTGTGATCATACTAATTGTATTTGGTGCTTTATTAGAATTTGTAACAGCTTATTTTTGGAGATGGTACTCCTTCTTTTATTAAGTGGGAGTTTTTCCTGTAGTAACGTACAGCTCAGAGCAAACCTAATTTTATTTAAGCCTTACCTTAGACAGGATGAGGACCCAAATGTTGCAGCAAGGTGGGTTGGAAAGAACTTGGAAATGGAAAAGGAGGCCTACTGTAATGTCCACTTATTATATTGGTGTTTTTTTTTTCTGAAAATGGGAGTCATCTGTACATTAGTGGTTCCTTCATTTCTCTTAAACAAAGGTTACCAAATGTTGGTCCTTCAGAGATGGTATATTTGACCCACACTGTTTGTTTGTTTTAGATTAATAGACTTTTTTTTAAAAGAGAAATTTTAGGTTTACAGAAAAATTGAGCAGAAAGGACAGAGTTCCTATATTAATTACTGCCCCCAACAATTTCCTCTAGTAAATTAGTGTGCTACATTTGTTATGATTTATGAACCAATATGGATACATGATTATTAACAAAGTACATTACTTACATTCATTTATACTACATCTTTGTGTAGTGTATTCTATAGGTTGGGACAAATGTATAATGACATGGACCCACTCATATAGTATCATACGGAATAGTTTCACTGCCCTAAAAACCCCTGTGCTTCACCTGGTCATCCCTTCCTTCCCCTGAATCCCTGGTAACTGCTCATCTTTTTACTGTCTCCACAGTTTTGCCTTTCCCAGGATGTCATATAGTTGGAATCATATAGTATGTAGCCTTTTCATGTTGGCTCCTTTTACAGCGATACACACTTAAGGTTCTTCCATGTCTTTTCATGGCTTGATTGCTCTTTTTTTTTAAAGATTTTATTTATTTATTGGACAGAGAGAGACACAGCGAGAGAAGGAACAGAAGCAGCAGGAGAAGGAGAGGGAGAAGCAGGCTTCCCGCTGAGCAGGGAGCCCGATGCGGGGCTCGATCCCAGGACCCTGAGATCATGACCCGAGCCGAAGGCAGACGCTTAACGACTGAGCCACCCAGGCGCCCCTGCTCATTTCTTTTTATTGCTGAATATTATTCCATTGTCTAGATGTACCACAGTTTATCTGTTCATCTATTGAAGTCCATCTTGGTTGCCTCTAGTTTTGGGCAGCTTTGAATAAAAGAGCTATAAACATCTGTATGCAGGTTTTGTATGCACACAAGTTTTCAGCTCATCTGGGTAAATACCTAGGAGCACAATTGCTGGATCTTACGATTAGAGTATAGTTAGTTTTGTAAGAAACTGCCGAACTTGGGGCGCCTGGGTGGCTCAGTTGGTTAAGTGTCTGCCTTCGGCTCAGGTCAGGATCCAGGGTCCTGGGATCAAGCCTGGCCTTGGGCTCCCTGCTCAGCGGGGAGTCTGCTTCTCCCTCTGCCTCTCCTTCTGAGCCTGCTTGTGTGTTCTCTCTCTTGCTCGCTCACTCTCTCTCAAATAAAAAATAAAATCTTTAAAAAAACAAAAAAGAAACTGCTGAACTGTTTTCCAAAGTGGCTGTACCATTTTGCATTCCCACCAGCAGTGAATGAGAGTTCCTGTTTGCTCCACATCCTCACCAGCATTTGGGGGTTGTCAATAGTTTAGATTTTAGCTATTCTAATGGTATCACATTCTCATCAATTAGCCAGTCTACTGGTATTATCATTATTGGTTTAACTTGCAATTCACAAATGGGAGATGATATGGAGCATCTTTTCATATACTTATTTGCCATCTGTTTATTCTCATTGGTGAGGCATCTGTTCAGATCTTTTGTCCATTTTTAGGTTAGGGTTTTTTTTTTTTGAACTTATTTTATTTAAATTCAATTAGTTAACATATAGTGTATCATTAGTTTCAGAGGTAGAGTTCAGTTATTCATCCGTTGTATATAACACCCAGTGCTCATTGCATCACGTGTCCTCCTTAATGTCCATCATCCAGTTACCCCATCCTCCCACCAACCTCCCCTGGGTTGTTTGTTTTCTTATTGTGGAGATTTAAGAGTTCTCTGTGTATTTTGGATACAAGCCCCTTATCAGATGTGTCTTTTGCAAATATTTTCTCCCAGTCCATGGCTAGTCTTCTCATTCTCCTAACAGCGTCTTTCACACAGCAATTTTAATTTTAATGAAGTCCATTCCAACTTAACTAGTTTTTCTTTCATGGATTGTGTTTTTGGCATTCTATCTAAAAAGTCATTGCCTGGTCCACACTGTATTTTAAAGTGTTTTAGTCTGAGCTGATGATTAATTAATTAATTGATTAAAAGATTTTATTTATGTATTTGAGAGACAGAGCATGTGCGCCTATGAGCAGGGGAGGGTCAGAAGCAGAGGGAGAAGCAGACTCCCCACTGAGTGCAGAGCCCTACAGACTGTTGGGGGGCTCCATCCCAGGACCCTGAGATCATCACCTGAGCCCAAGTCAGAGGTTTAACTGATTGAGCCACCTAGGCACCTCTGAGCTGGTATTTTAAGAAATGGAGAATTAAAAAGCAAATCTGACATCAGATAACTACAAATTGAGGGATTTAAAAAAAAATAAAATCACAAGCTTTGTTCTGGTTACAGTGGTTGTATAGCAAATAACCTCAACACTTAGTGTTATAAAATAATCTTTTATTATGCTTCTGACTTCTGTGGGCTAGGAATTCACAAAGGGCACAGAAGGGATGGTTTGTTTCTCTTCCATGATGTGTGGGTCTCAGTTAGAAGACTCCAAGCCTGAGGGCTGGAAATTTCTAAAGGCTCATTCATTTTCCTGTCTGGTGGTAGATGCTGGCTGTCAGCTGAGACCCAGACTGGGGCTGTTGGCAGAAACACTTACACGTGGTCTTCCCACGTGGCCCCTTGGCTGCATTCCAAGGGTAAATGGGGAGAGAGATAGAAAGAAAAAAAAGATTATATATATACATATA